GTTTGAAATCCGTGTGCCGGGGGGGGAGGGATTGTAAACAAGATGTGTTTAAATGAGTTTATTGCAGGTGTAACCCTTACGGCTGCAGTAAGGGCCATCTCTAAGTAGCGTAAATCCCGTGAAAAAAAGAGCCATTCAATAAAACAGAACTTGAAAGTAAAGGTTTCTGGACGCCATAACAGTCTCGTCTTAAAATGGTGAACTATGCCAGTTATTGCAAAACAACCCTGCCCCAGCGCCTATCTCTGTTTACTGGCTTGTCAACAGCTGATAACTGGCTAACTCCTCCACTGTTAACGCCACTTACTAGTCGATATTATTTTAAAAACTTTATTAATAAGCAGAGAATACACACAAAGAACACTATCAAAGCACCCCGTAAGTTTTCATTTTAACTAGACAAAATTCTGTGAAAAACCACACAGGTCAGACAAGCAAAAAAACCCAAACCATATTTTACACTTCAGTCTTGCCTTAAAATAAGCTAGATGGGTAATGCATTCAGCTAAAGTAAATGTTTAGGAAAACACTGATTGTTAGGTTTAACTCCTAAACTTCAAGGACTTATTCAAAGTCATTTTCATGTTCTTAGGAAGTCAGGAAAGACTTGACCTGTGAAAACAAAAAAGCATATATATTTGCATTAGAAGCAAAACTGAATCATTAGATTTTTTTCCCCTTCCTTTCTTGGGAAACAAATAGTTTGTTATTGTTCATTCTCCAGTGCTGTTCTGCCTTTCCATCCAATTAATTCATGACCTGAAATGCGTTTAGTGTAGCAGATGGCTGTGAAACCAAGATTTTTTAAGTTAGTACTGGGTAGAATTGAGTAACTTGATTACTCAAAAATAGCAAGTACTTATGAAAGGCAGCTTCTGGAATGTTTTACAGAATGTTACTTCATTACCTCGCTGTACCCACCACCCCAGGCTGAAGGAGAGCTGACCTCGTGTGCTGGGTGGTGAAGGGGGTTCGGTGGAGACCACACTTGCAGTGGGCAAGTTAAAAGAAAGATGGCATGTGTGGTGTAGTCTGGTTCATAACTCTCCAAGCTGTTAACTGATAGTTTCCATAAGGATACAACTTAACAAATACCTCCAGAACTGAACACTGCAATCCCCTCCCCAGTTAATGCAGAGCTATTTAATTGGCTTGAAGGAATCATTCTTCAGCGATCTCAAATTGATGACCAAGAACAAAATGGAGAAAATGGTTTATATGGTTTGATAGGAGGGCACTTGTTTTTATCTTACAAGAGTAATCTTGTTGGGGCAATGGGGGAAAGTTAACGTGTCCCAGTGTGTGTGATTAATGTTACAGCTTGGGATGGAGGTGAGCCCCATGCCTTTTAAGTATTGGGATTTTTGGTTTGTTTTGGGTTTTATTTCTGTACACACAGCACATGGCTCCTGCAGAAGACTCTTTGGGCACTTTCCAAGTTTTGCCTTTTGGCAAAATTGGCAAACACCGTTTTGACTTAAGTGATGTATTTATTATTGCTTTGTTCCCTCAAATGGCTGTTGACTCTCCCTCCCGACTGTACTTCAGTGTCACCTCACGCATGTAGAGCTATGTACAAGGTTGTTATCCCTGTGTTTGTCAGATGTGTTGTGCTCTGTCCAGGAAGAGCCTAGATCCCTAGAATGCGAGGGGGCATAAATAGCTCTAAGCTGACTGCAGGATTTTTCTGAGGACATGATGGCTGACACGAATTGGACAGTATTGTTCTGTGAGCTGTTTAATGACCAGTACGGCAGTGCAGACGTGGCAGAGAGTGGTCTGACTACTCCAGCTGCTGTGTACTTGCATCCCCCCACAATTGCCCTTCTTTAAATGATTCATACTGTTTTGTTTGGGAAGGAAAATAAAACACCGTTCTGTAGCCATGTAGCTTCCTAAGTCTGTGAAGGAGACTGACTGTACTAGTCCCAAACAAGTACTTCATCACAAAGGTTAAGAATGTAAATTGATAACTTGGAGCATTACTGCACAGGAAGAGCAACTGAGGAAACATTATTTAATACTTACCTTATCAATCAGGTACTCCTGTTTAATCTTATCATTCTTGAAGTCTTCATTAACATCCAAAACTAGAATGGGCACCTCTCTAAGGTTCTCAAAATCAACTCTGTTAAATGGAAGAACATAATGCAAGTAAAAATGCTGTAACATCCTGTGTATAAAACAATATTGCTTTCCAAGTTGTCCTAAGGGTGCAGCATTTGTTACTCAGATTACCACGTGTACCTGAGATGTTAATACTGCTGCCCATGACTTAGGTATAAAGCCCAAGTCAAGCCTGTCCTTAATTGCTCTTGTGTAACCCAGTCAACATTGTATCACTGCAACTTTAATGTAAATCTGGCCTTTTAATATCTATTTTTACTGTACAACTAGGGAGGAAGGCTAGTTTAGGCTGCTTACCTTAATTTCCTTTACCTCATTCTTTGTTATGAAATCAATTAGAAGGAAGGTGATTTGGTAAGAGGGAGTGTGATACTTTAAAATAAAGTGTCACTTGCCCTCTTGTTTTCCCCACCCCTTTCTAGTTAACTGCTAATCCATTTACTACAGGTCTAAAGCTTCCTCTGGTGGGGATGACCTCTTTAGCAGGTTATAAGACTGGAATTTAAAATGGCTCAGAGATAAGAAGACCATTTTGGCTACTAGAAGCAGACAGGAGCAGAACTTGTGCAACTGGATGTATTGTTCTCTTAAAGCTGTAGTTATTCTCTTTCTACATGTGAAAAGCATTTCTAAAACACAGTAAGTGTGCTGAATAACATTCTTAACTTGTATTCACAGACTTAAGTGTTCCTATGAAAAACCACAGGAAATGCACACTCACAAGTTTGGAAGGAGCATGCAATGTAAACATTCCCAAAATTCCCCAGTATGCAGGGCTGTCTTGTCTTCCAAGTATTTAGGTCATCTTACATGAAACTTAAGAGAGTAGATGTGACCGGTAACATACTTTTCCTGGAATTGTTATGCTTCCCATTCAATAGAATATTTCAGGCTCCTCTAGGGGAAAATCTCAAGTCTGCTTTCACATTTAGAGACTGTTTAGGCGGGAAAGCCAGTGAAAGTCAGTAAGGACACTGGGGGGAAAGGTACATAGAGATCACTTAGTTACTTATGTGTAACAGTGCCTGCCAAAAGCCTTCTGATAGCGTTTATTTTGAAGCTATGATTAATATTTAAACTTTGGTGAAACAGTCATCCTAGTTTAAAGGTAGTTGGGACCTTGTCCTCCCTTACACTGGAACTGGATGCTGCTTAGTAGGTAACTTATGTGATTGGACACCGCTTCAACTATGCCCTATTCCCATCTACTTCCAGTTAACAAAATTAATATCCTTGCTGGAGTTAGAGCTACATAGCTTTCTAGTTGAAGCTAATGCTTAAAAAGGGCTGTAAATTAGATGAAGTTCTGTCTCTTGGGCAGTGATTTCCCTTTAGCATATAAGGTAGGAAAGAGCCTTGCCTGTAAGTTGAAAGTTGCCTACAGAAGATAGGTTCATACCTCATAGTCCTTTCATGAAGCCAGGTTTCATGTTTATAGTGGAGGCTTTCCAAATACTCAAGCTCAATTCCTTGCTCCTCTTCTCTTCCCCTCATCTGTAGCCTTTCCATGCATTTCTGAAAATAAAAAAAAG